TCCATTACAATGGGGTTACGAGCGGAAGAAGTAAGGAGGAAATTAGTTGGCTAGTTGAAAAGAGTCGTCGTCGGAGGAGCGACTCGCAGAAAAGCGAAAGAGGATCGGTTGTCTTTACACGCGACGGGAAGGGGGCGAAATTGTACGGGAAAGGCGAGCAAACATCGGACCGGGAGCCGCGAATCGCTGTCAGCCCGTCGAGCACTCGTCGTGTAATTGCGATGCCGTTGGTCCTCGTCTTAATTAAGCGCACGCGTGGACCCTCGGGCTCCGCGCGCGGCTCGTTCGCGAATTTTTCTCGCGACTGCCATTCACCGGTGGGTTTTCCTTGGGGAAACGCTTCGAAATTACGTCGCGTGGAATCACTCCGCGTCATCTTTTTTTATTCGTCTCTTTTTCTCAATTAAATCCTCAATCGGGAAGTCAGATTTCCAGCGGAAATTGTACGTATCCGATATTTCCGTCGGACCCAAACGCGAATTACTAAGTTAACCCAGTTATGCCTGCATTCCTTTTTTTCAACGCTAGAACTACCGTTCCTAATCTCATCCTTCATATTTCTTACAAAAGTACACGTTCCTTGAGAAATTACCGGACAAATATAAATCAATTAAGATATCAATGAACGCGCGTTATTTCCCGGAAGAGACTGTAAAAAAAAAGTCAGTCGAAACGCTCGTTAGTTCCAGCGTTGAAGTTAATTTCGAAGGTTTCAGTAAACAGAAATGAGATCCGCGCGTTATCGTTAGCCAGCTTTCAAAAGAGCACGGTTGAAAGACGAACCGTCGAAGACTGAAAAATCGAATTGCCTCTAAATCGTTGTACCGGAAGCGTGATAGGCGTATCTGGGTTAATGGACGCCGGTGTGCCGCGAAAACGCGTGTAAATAGCGTGCCAGAATTTGTTTCTCGATCACCGAGCCTGTGTTGTGAGTGTGCACGGTTTAGACCATCATCATCATCATCATCATCATCATCATCATCATCATCATCATCATCATCATCATCATTATTATCATTATCATCATCATCATCATCATCTTCATCTTCATCATCATCATCATCATTACCCACGCACGTAGACACATCATGTACAGTAACCATTGGTCGTCGACCGACCAGCGAAATTTCGTTTGATCGTGTTTTCTCCAACGTTTCAGTTTGCTTTCTCCTGTCCCCGGTTCGATTCGCGTTCGCCCAGCCCGTGCCTCCTCGGCGAAAGATTAATTCGCGGAGGATCACGGGACGCGGACGGCGCGTCGTAGCTTAAGCCATCATCATCTCACGTTTCACGATTCATCCCGTAATTAATCTCAGTAATCCGTAATCCGTAAATCATTCATTCTCATCAGTAGTTGATCAAGCGTACGTGTGATTCAACCTCTTCGCGTCCTGTACGACTCATAGAGCCGGATTCACTTTTAGCCGGAGCTTCATCCTTATTCTTAGAGTTTACGTCCAGCTGTTAGAGCGAACTTCATACGTCATTGTTCATGTCTCATCTGCAACGATGTTCCCTTTCTTTCTGCCCGAAGAATAGATATGCTAATGTTTTTTCATTCTTTGTGCTCGGGTGGTCCTTTGCTGGTGGAGTTATCAAATTTTCACATGGAACATGATCATGAAACGTATTCACCTGATCAACAGAATAATCCAGACCAGTATCGGAAAATCTAATTTCTTGATTACATCCATTAACACGCTTATTAAGAAATTAGATTCGATCACCGTTCAGCGAATCGAAACGAATCCGATTTCCTGCATCAGATCGATCTCCATCGGACCACCACCAATGGAACGCCCTGTGTAGTTTGCCCCAAATCCCCAACAACCTTGCGCCGAGAACTCGACTCGACGCCTAGTTATCTAGATTAACAGTTACTGTAATTGTATGTAAATTACCACACGTTGCCGTTACATAGAGAGTAGCACTAGAACTTAGATGTTTGCATCATAAACACAGCGACAGAATTTCAGACCGAGATTCCGTACATTCCGCTGCGTTCCGCTGGCGACCAGCAAGAGCTCTGCGCCAGTCGACGAACGCGGGGGACGCTGAACTGAAACGACGAAAATCCACCACGAGAAAAAGCGTCGCGTCGCGTCGCGCCGCGCCGCAAACCGCGGGGTTTGAAGAGGTTGACACGTGTTCCTTGATCGTAGCTCGCTTGCTTGTAAATCCCCCGCGCGTACCGATTCGAGCGGAGACGCTTTTACACCTTAGATACCTTTGTAATTCGACTTAGCCGGGACCGGTTGTTCCACCTTCGAGATTGCAGCCCGGCCATTCGTCGGCATTCTTGCGACTCGGCTCGACTACGCTCGACTCGGGTCGGCTCCGGGCCAGAATCTCTCTCTCAGCCCGGAGTCGCGGATCTTACTCGGCCGCGCAACACCTTCATTTTTCCGCGACGGCCATTAGCCCTCCCGCGGCTCGGCCGTTGATCGGGATCCAGATAAATTCCCCCCCCGTTCTCGGTGAACGATGATAATCCCGGGGACTCGTGATAACGTTGCAACGATGGCTTATGAAATATATCCAACGTCCCTCTCCTGTTTCTTCCTTTATCTTCCTTCTTTTTTTTTTCGTCTCTTCTTCCATTGACGCAATGATTTCGTGACCAGACTGGCTAATGCTCTGGATCAGGGACTAAATGCGTGACTTTGTATCCTCTGAATGGGATGGTAAACGACGGATTCCACGGAGAACGAAATTGCGATCGGGGGAGGAGTGTATTCGTCGAAGTAATCCAAACTTCTCTGAATAAGATATGGCGAAGCTTGAATTGTTCGGGAAAAGTTGTTCCCGCTTTCGCAATCTTGTCCCCCGTGGAACTCGAGATTCGTACGGCGTGTTCTCGAAGTCTGATAGGGAATCAAATATTAATAGTTTCCGCTCCGCTGGAGATAATAACGGCGTGGGAAGGAAAACGCAGGGGTTACTCGTTTAGCGTCTATCCTTGACCTCCATCGCTCCGCGTGGAAAGTCTGTACCGCGTTTTTCTAGACCGGTGAACGCGCTCCGCAGATCCGATTGTAACAGTCGACGATGAAAATCGTCAGACGATCGTATCGTTGCACGCGTACCACTCTCGTCTCGTAGATCGATGATCGTAACGATCGAATCGACGTTTCTATCATTGTCAAGCCCGACGCGTTTCCTGGAATAATTCCCTTCGCGATGCTCCGATGAAATTCCGTTTTGCTTCGTTATTCGCCGTTAATGTTCCGCGTCGATCAGAATACTCCGAATATTCAGAGAAATAAGCTGTAAACAGGGGAGAAAAAAGCCGAGTGGAATTCCATTCACGTTTCCACGTTATTCTCTCTCTGAAAGAGTTATGAGCGCGTGAAAACCGCAGTCTAGTAATAACACGTTGTTGCGGTCGCATTTCGAGTCGCGTTGCATTCTCGAAAGATTTTTCTCTCGCGCCGTAGACTCACTGGGAAACTCGTTAGAACGCAGCTTTGACTAATCGATTACGTTCCACGAGGTTCCAAACGGATTCCAGTATGCCAGCATAGAATCTCCGCGGAACAAGTACAATTCGGTGAAACGACGTGATTAATTAACCGTCTCACTGAAATTCGAGGACATTCGAAAGCCGGGGTTAACCGGTTTGACCCGCGAATGACTCGTGCGTCGGTGTAGGCTCGAGTCGACGCGTGTCTCTAATTTATTTTCAATTTTCGAGCGTTCGAGCTCGACGCGTAACACGAACGCGACAGGACGCGAGGGGGTTAAACGCTGTCGAAGTTGAAATTACGCGTGGGAAGTCGTTGATCGAGTCGCGCGTCACAGACCCACCTCCTCGTCCGACCCTCCCCGCGCCACAGAGAGACCCAGGGCTGCGAACAATCGATAAAAGTGAAATCGTCGTCGCAGCTTCCGAAGGTGGAACGACCGATCGTCGTGGTCGTCGTCGTCGTCGTCGTCGGCGGCGGCGCCGTCTATGGCCGCGCCTAAAGAAACGATCCCATTAAAATTCATTGCAGCCGACCGGCCGCGATTGCGCGTCTATTTCGCCGGTGGATCGACGCGCCGGAGAACGTTTCGGCTCCGCGGTAAACGATTCGAGATAAATGGCCCGACCGGCCGCTCATTCCTGCCGGAATAACGCGTTTCCGGTCTGTCGCGCTTCGCGGAGGAATCGCTTGTCGGATCGATGTCGCTTTCGCGTGAACCACTCGTCGGCCGAATCAATGGCCGACTGCTGATCAAAAAGTAGAGAAACGTCGTTCGGTATACGATCTTTGAAATTTCCTTTGAAATGGGAGATCGAGGTTATGGAGTATTTGATTGTTTTACCGGATATATCACGAAATTCAATCAGTTATTGTAGAGAGAGTCAATCAATTATAAGATCTGGAAGAAATCTAGAAAGTTAACTAGGCCGATGAGTAGCTTATACATCTATTAATACGGTAGTGTTACTAAGCGCTGCAGAGCTATGAGCTATAGTCAAGAATCAAGATTCTCGAAAAGTAATGATTCAGTGATTAGTATTCCATGGGTGTTGGTTGGAGCCCTCGCTAGCCCACGCTTTCGTCAGTGAAAACAGAAAGTCATTCCCCTGTCTCTCTAACACATCCGAGTAGAACCATTTATCTCGCATCGTTCTAACAAAAACACTCCAAGAATCTAACATGTAAATAACCTAACAGCGAGCCTCGGATTAGTGTAACGACTGTCCCCGGATTAGCGTTACTCGAACCTTCCCCGTCACGTTCTTTGCTCACCGATCACTGCCAGACGCACCTTATTCGTCCCTTATGCAAAGAGTGTCGAAGGAATCTTGAAACCGTCCCCGGTTTAGCGTCGCCCGACCTCCCCCGATATCGTTACACCAATCCAGCGAGGCGACCGCCTCGCGGCGTCGTTTCTTTAGGCTGGTCCCGTCGCAATGTCCATCGAGGGGACCGAACACGTAGCACCCTGCCGATCCCCGTAGCGCTCCTTTCTCTGTCTATGTGGCGTTGTTGTTGTTGTGTTGCATGCAGGAGGCCGGCTAGTACCTGGCGGGATCGCTAGTCCCCCGGGATCTGGCGGCTCGACCGGAAACACCGGGAACTCGAATTCGGCGGCTGCGAGACGCGGCAATCGCAGACTCACGCGCAATGAGAGCCGCTATCATTCCGGTGAGTACATCACAGCTGGGACGATCGAAACGGTCCGATGCGGCGATCAATGAGGAAGGGAGAAAAAGTATATTGACACGTTCAATGCCGAGGAAAAGATCGGTTACTCGTATCGTTTCATTGTCGACCGGAAAGACCGGGAGAAGTCGAAGCAACTAATCGACCAAGCAATTCTAGACTCTTTCAACGAAATTAATCATCGAACGCTTACGAAAGAAATCCTTCATAGACGATTGATTTCAATGATTACCGAATACATTCATTAGAATTCATAAGCTTTCGATGGTTTTTCTATAATTCCGACGCGATCTCGTTACGCTCTCGTTTGTTCGTAACGTGCACCGCCAAGGTGTCTCGCGCGGCGAGATTTCCCTAGGAAAATCGGCGCGCATCGCGGCGGTGCACGCGGCACTGAACGTGTTAACGGGTCCTTAACCCTCGGACGACGCGGGCTCTTAACCGTGTACTTATTCAAAGTATAGAGAGCCCGCGGGACGATTCGCGGGCCGTTTCCCCGTTACCGTCGCTCGTCGCAAAACCGGCTTCGTCCTGCCTCGCAGTTTTCCGTTTCGTTCTTTTCCTTGGAGATACGCGCGCGTCGCTCGCCGATTATTCCGCGATTACGCGGCCCGTTAAACGATTACGTTAACTCTCGAACGGGGAGGGGGGACACGCGATTCATCGAGGTTTATCGGACCGACGATTCCCGCGTTGTTTACGAACGCGTATCTCGCGCCGTAAGCGCGGATTCGAGCGAAGCCGAAACAACGCTCCTTTTCGAGCGTTAACGTATCGTGTTCCACGGCACACCCTGTGTATCCGTCGATTCGCTTCGCTGTTTTCTCTTTATCGTCGCGACGGTGCATCGTTGTTGTTTCACCCCGTAGATCCGCGAGGTCGAGAGAGTAAAAATCGGACGAACGGGCTACGGGGGCACTGTTGTTCTCTTTTATTTATAAGATTCGGAGTAGCCATTTAGCTCGCGTCCCGAGCGGGATGATTCTCGGAGCGCGCTCTCGAGCCTCGCCGAGGCGAGGCCGCTTCAAGATATTCAAATTTTATGGAAGAATTAGCAACGAGGCCGCCGGTGTCCAAGGGTTGATCCGGGAAACGGGAAACCGGGCTCGGCGGATCCACGATCAGTGAAACGCGACGCTGTTTTTTTCTCGCGATCCCGTAATATCTTGCTCTAGAAACGGAACAGTGGTGTCGCAATAACGATCTGTCGTTCAATCGTGGAACGATAGCTGTAACGGCTCGTTCAATTACGAGAATCGCGTGATAATAGATACGATTGGCAATCGTTTCAAATAACTCGGAACTCTGTTCGAATCTCTAGAGTCTCGTATGGAATCGCTTCCCGAAAACTTCCAGCAACGAATGCACCGAGACAGAGCCGCGCAGTTCAATAATGATTCGTTGCACGCATGATCGCTCCGAATCTCGAACAACCGTTAACGTTCTTGCGGGCATTTAATTCGCTCTCGCACCGGTCCCATTCGAGCGCGGCTAGATTCGATTATCGATGGCTTATCAGCGAAGCTTATCAGACTGATCGAGGGTCGGTCGATCGGGAGATATCGGAAGGAGTCGCCGAAGTTGAAGTTGCTCGGGAGCTTATAAACTTGCGGCGGATTCCGCCTCGGATCTCGCTTGTTCGGGCTCGCTCGGGAATCGCGACTCGCTCGCTGGCCAAGTAATTGCGCAACATTAAGCTCGATTAGCTCGGCACACGGAAACATGGTCCGCGAGTGCGAGGAATGTGCTTTCGGCGCGAGTGCTTTCTGCTCTGATAAAGCGTTTCCTGCGCGCGTTAAGGCGTGCAGGCACGTTCGTTCTCGGCCGAGTCGCGGCGATAGCCGCGGGACGCGAAAGAAACCGGCCGCTTTTCCCGGGAATAATGCACACCGATCCCCGTGAGATCGTAAATCCGGAATGTTGCCTGTAATTGCACGAACCCCACCGTCTCGTAAAAACTTGCAGCACAAAATTCGTTTCGACCCGTGTCTCACCCCCTTAATCGTTCGATCGATGTTACACTGTTTTTCCCTTGGACGTTCCTCGACCAATTGTTCACCATAGGATTATCGATAGTTAATGTCATTGTCGATTAACCTTTCAATTTTCATGAAGAGTTCGTCGTATATCGTACAGCATCGAATTCGTTCGATCTTCTCGTTCTAAGCGAGGAGAAAATATTTTATTTTTTCAGTAGTTCCGTTCTCGATGGAACTTCAATTTAACACGTTGAATGCCATGGGTGTCACCGGTGACCCCAAGCAAATCGAATTACTATAACACTCAATGAAACGATGATTATTCGCACACATTTCTATATTATAGATAATGCTATTCATTGCTGTGACATTCAGTTTGATGAACGTGCAATAATAATCCAATTCACTCAAATGATTTAATATTGTACTTCGGTGTTTCTTTTACTTTTCCATCCTTGATACCATACGCGAGTCTGGAATATATTGAACGCGTGAAACGAAGATTCCCTTCGCGAGTAGATTCGACTCGCAACGAAAATCAGCGTCGAACTTTCCGAAGTTGGTATCTTCTACGGCGCGGTGCTCGCCAGAACGGAACGAAAACTGAACGGTTCTCCGTTCGGTGCGTAAAAGTCCGCATAGAAACTTCATTTATCCAGAGGCAGAGCGAAGGCAATCTCGCACCTGGTGCACCGTTACCGGTCGAAGAGGACGAACATAGCTCGCGGAAGATAAGTCGCTGCCTGTCCGGGGAGCGTCCTCGTCCGCGGACACACACGAACACGCTCGCTGGTCGATCCTTCGAGAAAGAAGCTGCTCGAACGATTCTTCCCGTGCAGCTCGTTGCCGAAGGATTTCACTGATTCGGCGAAAACGCTCGGAGAGAAACAGAAAATAGTATAAGCTCGTTTCCCTTTCGCAGAAATATTCTCCAAACTATCATCGACGCGTTGAACGCCGCGCGATTTCACAGAGCGAAATACGGAAACGTGGAACTGTAATATTACATCATTCTGGTCATCACCGCGTTAGGTAGCATTATTTACAATATAGAAATATCTTCAGATAATCATTTAATCGAGTGAACTATAGTAATTCGATTGGTCACCGGTGACCCACGGCGTTCAACGTGTCGAAACTTTCGAAATTCTCGACAATGGACAACGGTACAAAGTTAATCAAGCTCTTAAGTTCCTTTCGTTTAGAATATCCGAAGAGAAAATCGAGGATTATGAGTCGTGAAATCTCGGGAACGTCGGGAATCCCGATTCGCTTCGATTCCATAAGAAACCCGGCCTCGCGAAAAGAAGTTCGAGTCGTTATCGCACAGCCGGTCTCATTACACGTAATAATCACGGTTCCGCGGCGGTTTTTCCAGTTCGGGAAATAAATGAAAGTAAGTTCCAGCGCGAGATATGCCGGGGCAGGGTCGATGGGGCAATAGTTGCCGGCTCGAGTGATTGATGGTGTCCGTGGCGAGCCCCGTTTCTACGGTTGCTGCTCCACTGGTTCAGATTTGTGCGAGGTTGATTTAAGAAACTTCCGTCGCGTTACGTCCACGGCGAACCGCGGGAATTCCGCGCGACACAATGCCTGCCGCTCGTTCGACGATTCGCGCGCGCTGAACCTCGAAGTCAGTCACCGTTCCGCGATAGCCTCTCGACAGTTCGAAACAGTATCCCCCTGATTTCGGCGAGGAAACGGGATTCGCGCGAACGTCCGCGGACCACTCGTGACTCTAGGCTGACACGGAACGCGGCTGGCAGCTATCTCGACCGATTACCGGCACCGACCCGCGCGAAAACGCTCGAACCCTTTATTTTCCGGGGATACTTGAAAGTACCGCGTTCCGCGAGACGTCTGCGATGAATCAAATATATTTAGCCTGTCCGTGGACGTAATTCGAACCTCTCTAAACAAATTCTATCTCTAGAAACGTAACACTTGTATCTACCATACAGACATGCTATTCGAACACTACCTCTATTCGAAGTAACGGTGAAAGATGAATATAGTCTATCAAACGCAGAGTTTACGAAAGCGGTTATTAAAAGAAAGCTACACAGCGTCCGAGCGGAAAGAGAAAATTGGCAACTATATTACGCGTATCCGATCTATTTCCAGTCGCCGAGATTTTCCGAAGAACGACGGGAAGCTAGAAGAGAAACAGTGTTTCGTAGATCGCCGAAACGTTTTCCCAAGCGCAACGTCGATAGAGAATATATAGAAACCGAAGCGCGGCGCGGATTCGGTGAGCGGATCGCTGCATTTCCGGTCGGGGCGTATTTGTATCGTTATTACGACATCGGGCAACATCGGGACGCGGTTTGTTAGGGCAGGCACTCGCGCGATCGCACGCCGGAGCGCAGCCGCGTGCAGCGACGGGAATAAGACGATTCGACGCGGTGCTTCCCTGAAAAATTCCGGAATAAATTGTTCCCGGACGCGCGGCGAGCCTCGATTCGCGGGACCGTTGAATATCCCGAACGCGTTGACTGCTGCGTCAGCCATCCGCAAGCGGCGATCGCGGATTATTCTCGCCGAGGAAACGGCTGATCTTACTCGGAGCTCTCTTCCGCCCGGCGGAATTGCAACACCGGGACGAGTGAAGTCGAATAGACGCTCCATGGGACGCGGACGATTGCAAGCGGGGGATTCCTTTCGGACGATTGTTCAACGCTGGAACTATCAAGCTGCCTCGAATCACTTGTTTAGAGAATTCGAGAACGTTGTTTACCGCGGAGTCCGATAATTGACGACGAGAGTAACGTTCAATCGGTATTCGGGAGAATCGAGTGTTCGTGCTTGTTAACCGCTTGCGCTCCGACTTTCCTCTTGGAATTTCTATAACGAATGTTTTTATTACGATGTCTCCTTTGAAATGCATTTGAGAATAGTTCGTGGAGAGCGGTGTAAACGATTGTTGCTAATAACATCGAAGATAACGTATCTGTTTGGAAAATATCTTGACGAGGAGTCACACCTGCGAATAAAACTGTCGAGTCAGGTTCGACGTAGGAGCGCAACGGGTCAAGTTTCGAAACGACTTTCGCCGTCTTATCTGTATAGACTGTTTTATCCACTTCTCGCAGTGACTGCTCGACGATTTCAATAACGGCCGGAGCAGTCTGAAATGGGTTATTTTAACTATGACGTTTGGTAGTTCTGCTGCGTTAGATCTTTTACGAGTGTCCTCCACGGGCGTAAATAGCTGGCTCGCTCTCCGCGTTTCCTAGATGTTGCAATTTGCATTCGCACCGGTGCCTCTACCGGGTGTCCCGCTCGCGAGACGTCAGATTCCCGACGCGTTCACTGAAATCTTTTTCGACGAGGTACACCCTGACGCGGAGGGTAACGGATGTAGAGCATTAACGCGTCAGCAGTCAACCTGTTCGGGATTCGTCGAGCAGCTGGCTCGGAAGGTCCGGAGATAAATTAAGAGAACCCGCGTACGTAGAGCAAGTAGTCGCCATGAGCTTGAACGGCAAACGGAATCGTTGTGTCTTGCGTAACTGCTTGGACGCGTAGTTCAAGGTACAAGCCTCGTGTACCTGAGGATCTCAGTGTTGCGCGTTACACGGAGTCGAGGAGCTTCTTCCTCTCGTCTCCGTGTAACATAGGTTGCCCTGCGAGTCTCTTTCCTACCGGGCAATGCATCGATGACGATCTTCTCACTCCGAATGTTCCATTACGGTTCGATCTTACGTGAAACACGATAGAAATCTCTCTATCGTGCTATACGAAAAAGAGTTCCCAATTTACTACCTTAACTCTAATCTAATTTCTACTTAAGTTTGATTACTTCATATTGCATTGCTATACGTTTCCTGATTTTTAAAATTTGGGCCCTATAAACAGGAACAATAACATTTTAATCATTCCGTTAACACGTTAAGCGCCACGAAAATTTCAAGCATTTTCCCATAGAGTTTGTTTGTAGCAAAGAAAAGCAGGAACGATTATGAATTCTTTGTCGTTGCAACGTTTGCGTTACACTATTATCAACTGAGTTGCGTTAAACATTTTTATTTCACATCGGTTGTCTTGTACGTTACGATTGGTTTAGTCATTCAGAAGCGTCAGTCACCAGTGACCGACACGGCGCTTAACGTGTTAATTCTCGTAAGTCGCATCGTGGCATTCGTTTCGGAAGCACGTGGTTAGGGTTAAAATTACTATATACATAACACCAATTCCATCTGATCAATCGATCGATCACGATCGCCGCGAGCATGCAACGAACGTACCGAGATAAAAGAACCTTCCGGGGCAACCTACAACGCTGATCTGCTCGAACGAACGTAAGAACGTAAGAGCGTAAGAACGAGCGTACGCGAGAGGAACGTTTTAGAGATGGTTTTGCTCGGCTGATCGTTGGACATTGAATGCACAGAGGTGCGGCAGGAGGCGGTACAGCAGGCTTTGGCAGCGATGCAGGGCCGGCCAAAGCCGTCGTTGCCGATGCCGTCGAAGAGAACCTCCGTGATGGCCAGGAGCCCGGACCGGGAGCGCCGCGACAGCGGCGAGTCTAGCAGCGACGAGGACAGCGTGGTCACCGAGGAGAGTCCCGGTGCTGGTGGTCCGACGGGTATAACCTTCGAATCTCAATTTTATCCGGCTTTCGGCCCGTGACCGGCGCGTCCCTCGTAAATATCGTTCGGTTCCAGAGTCGGCCCGGCCGGCCGGCTCCGCCTTATTTCGCATCCGCGTGCGCGGCGGCGACCGGATGGAACTGGTCGCGCGACTATTTTCATCGGAGCAGCCGCCGCTCGGTTTCGGTTTATATCGGTATCGTTAATGCGGATTTGCCCGTTGAGATACTGCGCTCGTCCTTCGGCGCGCCCCCCTTCCCCGTTCCTACGCTGGACGATCCTTTGAACCTTTCAGTCCCTAAGCTACTGATGTATGCAGCTTCCGGGTACCGGCTGGGACTCAGTCAGCCGTTAACGTCGGGAAACGGGACACCTACTTGACGCTTTTAAGGATTTCCTCGTCGGACTATACGGACGAGCGTGATTATTACGATCGCGGAAGTAGAGGAATGCTGTTGTTCGACACGGAGCTGCTCGAACGTTCGGTACAGCGATGCTCGCTTGGATTTCAGAGAATCTGCTCGGCTAAATTCCACTGCATCCTCCTTAATTCTTCGTCGCTGCCTCGAGCTTCGGGTAACGCGATCTCGGTAGATAGGCGTAGAGAATTAGCGAAGGAGCGGAAACGAGGTAGACGCAGATTTGGAAGCGTAAACGTGTAGTAAAGGAAACTTCGGTTGCAATGATTTTCACCTGACATTCTTAAAATGAGCCCAAACACGACGTGAATCGGTTTCGATGGAAACGAACCTTTCACTCTTACATCTACTCGCTAAAATCCTCCGATTTCCATCGTGTTTGTACTCACTGTAATCACCAGAATCTCAGAAATTCACTGTAATTAACGCATTGCGTACCGGTAACGAGAAATCTCGTTTCTATGTAAAGATACTTAGCTGTGCAACTTCGCTAATTACCACAGCATTGAAAGAAACAAAATTTCATTCGAATTGATTATCCATTTAAAATATATTACATAACAATTTGATATCTGAGTTTTTCTATAGTGATATACCTCAGTGAAAACTGCCATCCGCACAATTCAGTTTTCCGAAAATTAGCCGGTACGCAATGTGTTAAGCATCCAAAGTTAAACTCAGCTTCATCGATTCTCGGACTGTCTACCCCGCGTCCACTCGCGATATCTACCTTTATCCCGCTCGAGTCAACTCTAAACAGACAGCTTCCCCCGTTCCTGCTCGGCTAAATTTCACCGCTCCGACCCGAAGGAATTCAAGCGAGCATCGCTGTACCGTTTCGTTCTCCGCGAGGATCGCGTGTTCGGAGCCTTCAGTTCGACCTCACGACACTCTGTCCCACCATACAAGCTCCAACCGTCGTCGACCGCGTCGCAAGACAGTCCTGCGTCCCTGCGATTACTCGGGAAACGATAGTAGAGGCATATCGCTTGTCGGTCGAGGACTCTACAATGGACTTTTAGGCACAGGACTGTCGGACACCAGCAGCACCGGTTCAGCGCGGGACACGCCCCCGCCCCCGAGACCACCGGCCAGGAGACCTCCTGGCGCGGACATCACGGACATCGCGGAGTACACGCCCCATGCCTACTGCAACATCCAGCCGCCGGACGTGACGCACACCAGCAACACGCCGGCCGCGCAGCAGTCGACCAGGCGGCCGGGCGCCGATCGCGTGAACCGGTACCACGTGGTCGAGGATCAGAACAACACCGGGACCACCGGCCGGTGGAAGGTGTCCGCGAAGATCCAGCAGCTGCTGAACACGCTCAAGCGGCCGAAGCGGCGGCCGCTGCCCGAGTTCTACGAGGACGACGACATCGAGCTCGAGATCGCGGCCAACCCGAAGGACCCGAACGCGCCGAAGCCCGAGGGCGGATCCATGACCTCCGCGGTTGGCGAACCTGCCTCGGTGCCCGCGGGTTTGCCTAGGTCCCTGGAAGCCGCTATACAAAGGTGAGCCGACCGGTCGCGGTCCTCTCGATCTCGACGCGAATACTAATGCGGCGGCACCGATCGGAGAGGAAATCGCTGTTCGAATGTTTCACGTGTCGGTGACGGTAGGAACCGTTCCGGAGAACTGAAACGAAGTTACCGATGTACCGGTATTACGTATATCGGTCGTGTAACTGTTGCGTAGATTGGGGTTGTAACTCGTGTAAATTAGAGGCTCAAGATCGGAGTACCTGTTTGTTTAACGCTAGAACTACCGAGCGTATAATACGATTGATACGTATGAGAATTCTAACGAGATTATTCCGAGTTTCCTCGGACGTTTATTATGGCGTTCGAGTGGAACCGTTTGGTTCGATCGTTTCGTATATTCGATGGTTCGAAGGTATCGATAATTGCGAGAACGGGAATCGGTTGTTTTGATTGATACGGTAGTTCTGGTGTTAATGAAATCAATCGGAATCGAGGAACACTTATGAAGTAACGTTTACGAGAGTCCGGAAAACTAGCGTTAATCGAAGCAAGAAATTAACGACTCGGCCCGTTAGATCGTTTAACGCAACGGCGAATGCAACAGTGAGTTCATTAATGAAATCGCCGGCGAGTCGACTATAAAGTGACAATAGTGAGATAAGAAGTGACACTCGTTCGTTCGACCAGATAAACTTCGAGTGTAAATAAACTGAAGACGAGACGCTCCGCCGCGATCGAGCCGAGATAATGCGGGCTCGCTGAATGAACGGAGTCGTCCGTTTCTAATATTAAATCGTCGATTAAACTTTCCGACTCTTACGCGGACATGTGAATAGTACACTGTAAGTTGACGATACTTTATGTATCCAGGTACGGCACGGCAACATGCAAAGCGCCGGTCGCAACGGTCCTCGACCCGAACGGCAAGTTCTGCGTGACGCTGACCTACGGGAAGCTTTTAAGCCGTTCCCATAAAATAGCTTACACGTTGCTGAACAAGGCTCTGAGTCGCAGCGGCGATTGCTGCCTGAAGCCCGGCGACAGAATCGCTCTAGTTTACCCGAACAACGATCCGATAAGTTTCATGTGCGCCTTCTACGGCTGCCTGCAAGCCGGCATCGTACCTGTGCCGATCGAGGTTCCTCTGACGCGTCGGGACGCCGGATCGCAGCAGATCGGCTTCCTCTTGGGAAGCTGCGGCATTCAGGTGAGACGAGACACCTTCAGAAACTGCCTTCCATCCTCATTCTTGCTTCCCTCGAAGCCTAACCCAAAACGGGATGGAACATCGTGAGAACATCCTTGCATTCTCATTCCTTCGTTCTATCAAAGAAAATCTAAGCCAATCGTCTTTTAGCGTCACGGCCCTAACGATAAACCTATCCTGAAGTATCTATTGATTTCCAGGTGGCATTGACCAGCGAAGCCTGTCTGAAAGGGCTGCCGAAAACCGCGGCCGGCGAAGTAGTGGCGTTCAAAGGCTGGCCGAAACTCCACTGGTTCGTGACAGGACACTTGGGCAAGACGCCCAAGGATTGGCTACCTCCGCCTCGGTTAACCGACGACACCCCGGCGTACATCGAGTACACGACCGACAAAGATGGCTCGGTGATGGGCGTGACGGTGACCAGGTCGGCGATGCTGACGCACTGCCGCGCCCTGACGCAAGCCTGCGGCTACACGGAGGGAGAGAACGCGGTCTGCGTGCTGGACTTCAAGCGGGAGGTCGGTCTATGGCACAGCACCCTGACCAGCGTGTTGAACGGGATGCACGTCATCTTCATCCCGTACGCGCTGATGAAAGTGAACCCCGCCAGCTGGATGCAGATGATCACGAAGCACCGGGCCAGCGTGGCCGTGGTGAAGTCGCGAGACCTTCACTGGGGCCTCCTCGCCACCAAGGATCACAAGGACATCTCGCTGTCCTCGCTGAGGCTGCTGCTCGTGGCCGACGGGGCGAACCCCTGGTCCCTGTCCTCTTGCGACCAGTTCCTCTCGGTGTTCCAGTCCAAAGGATTGAGACCTGACGCGGTGTGTCCCTGTGCATCCTCCAGCGAAGCTTTGACCGTCTCGGTTAGGAGACCAGGCCGCGCTGGCGTCAATGCTACTGGCCGAGGAGTGCTGTCCATGTCCGGGCTCAGCTATGGAGTCGTCAGGGTGGACCAGGAGAATTCTCTCACTTCTCTCACGCTTCAGGACTGCGGCCAGGTCATGCCTGGCAGTAAGTTTCATACTCTTCGCGTATTGTAAGCGCAACGGTTTCCAACCTGTATGCTACTGTCTTCCTAAACGAATGTTCTTCTCGCGCTTACCTGTCTTTCAACCTTGCCTCGTGGTGAACATTTTGAATAAAATATAAATATTGGCACCTCATGTGGCAATAGTCCAGACTCAGGTTGGAAACCGCGAGTGTGAGATACAGTGGAGGTCGAAAGTTAGCTAAGCCTTCCTTTGGTTCAGAAGTGAAGTCCCCTTGCTCTTCACTTTTAACCCTTTGCACTGAGAGCCTTTCAGTCGCCATTTGATTTGACCCAAGAGAATGATGAAACTGAAAATTCAATATTACATTTTTATATAACATTACAACACATGGAACATCAAAATAAAATAGTTCTGTCACTCTATGCAAGGTACTTCTTTGTTAGTTGTGAAAAGTATCATTGATATTTCATCAGAAAATGAATATTTGCTGAGGAAAATATAAAAGAGTAAAACAAGTCCCGTTTCAAGGGGCATTTCGAATGGAATATTGAAATTTCCCAGTGCAAAGGTTAAACTAAAGGTCGTCCAACCCGCGACTTCCACAGTGTCTGTGTGTAACGTTCAAAGATATAAACGTGCGTGTTTGCGTCAGGTATCGTGGTCGTGATCAAAATGGAGGGGCAGCCGTTCATCTGCAAGACGGACGAGGTCGGCGAGATCTGCGTGCACAGTTCAGCAACTGGGAACCAATACTGGGGACTGCAAGGACTGACGAACAACACGTTCAAAGTGTCTCCGTTGCAAGCTGACAGCAGCCCGCTCGGCGACGTGGAGTACACTCGATCGGGACTGCTGGGATTCCTAGGTCCTGGCGGCCTCGTGTTCGTCTGTGGGTCGCGTGACGGCCTCATGACGGTCACGGGAAGGAAGCATAACGCGGACGATATCATCGCCACGGTTCTGGCCGTGGAGCCTATGAAGTTCATTTACCGCGGGAGAATAGCTGTGTTTAGCGTGCGGGTGTTGAGGGATGAGAGAATATGCGTCGTTGCGGAACAACGACCAGATTGCAGCGAAGAGGAAGTACGTTTTTCGATGGTAGCGAGAGTCTTTTAGGCGAGACGCGGAACTGTTCAGAATCCGAGAGTTCCTTCGATCTCTTAACCCCTTGGCCTACGAATTCCTTCTCAACTCTGACTGATACGGCTACTTTGTCGTTAATAATTTATTGGAAAAAGAGAAAAATTCTAAGCATGTGTTATGCCTATATTTCCTTTTAAGTATGATAGTTGATCACAGAGGAATAATATTTACTTCGAATTCGAATGAACTGAATAATATATTCGTTGAATCATGTTGAAAATCTTCACCACGAGTCTCACTCGTAGGGCAAGGGGTTAACCGTGGAATCTTCTCGATAAACAGTGTCATTCGGGAACATAGAATTACCCTTTTAGCTACTACTACGGTGGATTTAGTCATCAATAGTTGTGCACATTATAGTCTAACACAATCATAGAGTGGAGAATTATATCTGAAATGCAGTGATACGAAGAGAAACATTAGTCTCGTTTCCCATCTGCTTATGAACTGTTGCCATTCGATTCATGTGTCGCGCCTAAAAGATCTCTAACGTAGCAACTGTTCGCAGATGAACGTTGACGTTGTACAGAACGAATGTCCGGTACGAGTTGTCTCGTTGCAGAGTTTCCAATGGATGTCGCGCGTCCTTCAAGCGGTAGACTCGATCCACGCCGTTGGTATCTACTGTCTAGCTCTGGTACCGCCTAATTACCTGCCGAAGACGCCTCTGGGCGGTATACACCTGTCCGAAACGAAACGACGTTTCTTAGAGGGTACCCTACACCCGGCTAATGTTCTGCTTTGTCCGCACACTTGCGTTACCAATCTACCGAAACCACGCGAGGTCCATTCAGGTAAGCGGTCGCACATTCATCCGCGAGTACTATGCCCCCGAAACCACCAGGTATTACCGATCAAAAATTCACCGACCGTCAATGAATTACATGAATGTCAGCAAGTACAAGGATTTATATACACTTCTTCTTCTCTTGGTTGTAACGTTTACACCACGTTTTATTTCTGTTTTCTGCGCAATCGAAGTCGGGCGGCGGACCCAAGGGGCCGGCGAAAGATCCCTCCGACCGGTCGCGAGAGAGGCGATTCGCGGGGAACAGGGTACGAGGCAACACGGCGAGAGTCTCGCGCCCTCTCCGCGCGAAAACTTTTCGCCGGTTTCTTGGCTCGCGTCGCCCGGGTGTTTATGAGAATGATTAATGAGAGAATGAATGGAGCAATTGTCCGGACTCGATACATCTCGAGGTCCTCGATTAACGCGGAGGAACCGTGTAACACTATTTTGCGCTTCTCTATTCTCGGAGAGTCCGTCAGTAGGCTTCTAGCAACTTAGCACAGATGTACAAAGTATATAACCGTCTCTTGCTACATATCATGTATTGTTAACCCACCCTGTACCACCACGTACCACATTTTACTTTAACGCTTCGCATGTGTTTCTATTATTTTTCGCCCTTCTTTCTTTTGGCTGAGCTCCGAACGCCCCCAGTAGTAGCGGTCCAACGGCTATAGAAGAATTGTACATAGCGATGTGAGATTTTCCTCGAGCAGCGCAACACTAACGAACCGACACGATTCGATTAACGGAATCGTGGTTTTACCATGGACGGTCTCTCTCTATCTGTTCGCTTCGCTTTCCTACCGCTTCGATGATGAATTTCACATCGCTAACGCATCTGTACTTCTCGAGAAGCACTGAATACTTTTTTCTATTCCTCTCTTGACCTATTTCTCTCCGTTCTTTTCGTTTTAACCGAGTATGTACAGTCCACGGAATGCTCCGGGCACGCCCGTACAAGGACGTGGCTTAACCGCCTTCCGACAATAACGAACCAACCAGTTCACGAACCTATATAGCTTTGATTTTCCGGCCTCAGTCAGGGGAGAGTGTGTGAGCTACTCATTATTGGGTTGAGTGTTTGTGTTGGTTTACTAACGGAAAGGTGCGGGGGCGTGTAGCGGGGGATTCTGTTGCAGACGTTGGTCCGGCCAGTGTCATGGTGGGCAACATTGTTCAGGGTAATAGACTGGCCTCCGCCCAAGGACGGGACATGGGCGTCTTGGACGAGGACAGTGATAACGCTAAAAAGGTTTGTACCTCGATTCATGCTCACCTGGATCCTCTAACTGCCAGTCAAAACGAACAAATATAGAAGAAACTTTTCGAATCGAATTTAACGTTTTCAATGGAAATTTCTGTTTAATCCATTTTATCCTACAAACAAAAGAAACTGGATCTTTCTTATTGAATATAATTTTAGAGAATCATGCATTTCACACTAGATTTACATTTATTCTACTTTATTCTATTGTTCTTAAGTACATTGAGGAACAATGTTATTTTATTTCAATATTCTTCGAATCGATTAGTTATGCAGGGTGTAATATTAAATATCAAATTTTATAGTTTTACTGTATGAAATCAGGTGGTGAGTCACCTCTCGAATGCGAAAGGTTAAAAAACTCAGTATCCGTGAAATTGACGGGTAAATCTAGTGTTAACTGTTTTGAAAATATTCCTACACGTTCATTTAATAAATAGTATTTAAAACTAGTAGTATTTAAAGTAGTATTGCTAGTATTTAAAAAATTAGAGTAGGTTCGGTTAGTCGAAAAATACAAAAGAATAGGACGTAACATAGTGATACTGTTCGGAGTTTGTCATTCTGCTTTCACAGAATATTCTGATTTCTGTTTCATGGCTTGTCATTGGTCTGGCGGATTTCAGTATCAGTTCATCTCGGAGATCCTACGATGGCGGGCAGTCAGCACCTCCGACCACGTGATATTCACGTCGTTGAACTCGAAGGGCGCGGTCGCTACCTCTTTGTCTTGCTCGCAGCTGCACAAGAAGGCCGAGCGGATCGGGAATCTCTTGTTGGATCGCGGCCGGATCAATACCGGGGATCATGTGGCATTAATATTTCCTCCTGGTACGGACCTGATATGCGCGTTTTACGGCTGCCTCTACGTTGGAGCCGTGCCAGTTACTATCAGGCCGCCGCATCCGCAAAATCTCCAGACCACTTTGCCAACCGTTCGCATGATCGTGGACGTTAGTAAGTCGGTGCTCGTGCTCACCAATCAGAATATCCTGAAACTCTTGAAAACAAAGGTACATCCATGCACTGTCGTTTAAATTGCGTTCTCGATAAAGGGCGGTTCATTTACCAAACACGAATAGAAAGAGACTTGTGTCTTCGTCGAATGAGAAGCGAAAGATAAAGGACAAATCTATGAGAAAAAGCAGTTAGATTATTTGTAAATGAATCACTCTATTATATTCTCTTACGGTTTATCATTAGCTTCTCTGAATACTTGCAAATAAACATCACCACGCGTTAACAGGAGGCGAACAATGTGGTCGAGATAAAGAGCTGGCCGACGATTCTCGATATGGACGACATGCCAAAGAAGAAGCTACCTGTTATGTATCGAGCCCCGACTGCGGAGATGTTAGCTTACTTGGACTTCAGTGTTTCCACCACGGGCATGCTAGCAGGAATAAAGATGTCCCACGCGGCGGTGACGTCTCTGTGCCGTGCCATGAAACTCGCCTGCGAGCTCTACCCTTCCAGGCATATCGCTCTCTGCTTGGACCCTTATTCTGGCCTGGGATTCGCTCTATGGTGTTTGAGCAGTATATACAGTGGACACCATTCTATACTCATACCGCCATCAGAGGTTCGTCCCATGAATCATTGAAACGATTTAACATTCGAAAGAGCTACTTCTAAACACCTCAATATTTACAGGTGGAAACGAATCCAGCGTTATGGCTGTCCGCCGTCAGTCAGTCCAGAGTAAGAGACACTTTCTGTTCGTACGGCGTGATGGAGCTATGCACAAAGGGTCTAGGATCTTCCGTTCACGCTCTGAAGGCGCGCGGCGTCAGTTTAGCCTGTGTGAGGACATGCGTAGTAGTAGCCGAGGAAAGGCCACGGATCGCCCTCACCTCGAGCTTCAGCAAGCTCTTCTCCGCTCTAGGACTCAGTCCTCGCGCTGTGTCGACCTCTTTCGGTTGCAGAGTGAACACAGCCATCTGCTTACAAGTACGTACCCCCTTGTTACCTCTCGTGGAATGTATTCTTCAATGAGGAATCGAGAATTCGAAGAACTGACATTGTCGACAGGGTGCATCGAGTCCAGAACCGTCCACCGTGTACGTGGACCTCAGAGCTTTGCGCAACGACCGAGTGTCCTTGGTCGAGAGAGGCAGCCCTCACTCTCTGTGCCTGATGGAATCAGGGAAGCTGCTGCCCGGTGTCAAGGTGATCATCGCCAATCCAGAGACAAAGGGGCAATGCGGGGACTCCCACTTGGGCGAGATTTGGGTGCAATCCGCCCACAACGCGAGCGGGTATTTCACGATCTACGGCGACGAAAGCGACTACGCGGATCACTTCAACGCTCGCCTCGTTACCGGGAGCACGAACGAGGTGTACGCGAGGACCGGTTATCTCGGTTTCTTGAGGCGCACCGAGAGCGTTCAACAGTCGGTGATCAGCGACGTGCCCGGCGACACATCCGCGGCAGAGGCGGATCTCGTCCCCGGCGACGCCGAGCTGCACGACGCAGTCTTTGTCGTCGGCGCTCTCGACGAGGCTATTCTACTCAGGGGTATGCGGTATCATCCGATCGACATAGAAAATAGCGTAATGAGGTGTCACAAGAAGATAGCGGAATGGTGAGTAAATTACAGTAGAGGATTGATAGGCAGTCTATTGAACAAATATAGAAATTAATGGAGAAATTACATAATCTCTTGTAAACGAACACTTGGATCAACGATTACTCGTACGTTTCACAGCGCCGTATTCACATGGACCAACCTGCTGGTAGTGGTGGTGGAGCTAGACGGTAGCGAGAGCGAGGCTCTGGATCTCGTCGCTTTGGTGACCAGCGCCGTTCTCGAGGAGCATCACCTGGTGGTGGGCGTGGTGGTCGTAGTGGATCCCGGAGTGGTGCCGATCAACTCGCGCGGCGAGAAGCAACGAATGCACCTGCGGGACGGTTTCCTGGCGGACCAGCTCGACCCCATCTACGTCGCATACAATATGTGAGCGGTGTCGGAATACCTGGCTGGTATCGTACATTCCAGTCGCGTTGTCTCCGCTCCTAGCTACCCCTGGCCGGAGGTCGCAAGCTGCAATTCGAATTCGTATTCTTCCTCGAAGAAAACGGTCTCCCGTTGGGGAAGAATCACCCGGAACGTATCGCAAGGACTCTACGTATTTCTCGAACGAACGTCGTCCCTAAACGGTTCGCGCTCTTCGCCCGAGAAGGGCGAACGAGCGCTAGGATTCCTCGTCGCATCAGCGCCGGTCGGAGGCTGAGGAATTCCGTGACGGATCAAGAACCGGAGTCACACGGTTACCAAATGTTCACCGTTCACGCGACGAACTCCTGTATCCAACATGGAACATCGATCGCCACGCGTAACCGTCCCTGCACGGATGAGTAAATAAGGAGACGGAACAGGGAGGAGGACCGTCGATTTTCAACGCGAGCTCGCGCGCAACGGAGAACAATGAGAAACGATCACGGAACAATACGCACAGTGCATTACCGATGCTTGTAGAGGGTTAACGAGAGCTCACGCTCGCGTAACCGTTACGTACTTCTCACCAACGAAGCGTCCGCGGCGATCCGCCGCGCCCTCGGACACGAATCCTCGGATATCTCGAACACTCAGACTGCCAGAACAAAGCATGCGCACAGCTTGGACCGTGCTTTTATATAACGTCGTATTATCTGACCGTCGGAGCAACGTCGGCTAGTAATATCACATCGGTTGTTCGTCAACGACATCGGAAACGGTAGTGAGCTTTTTTACCAGTGAGAGAAAACGAAACCGGATACCGAAGAAGTTATTTTAACGGGTGAACGGGGCGCCGACGAGCGCGCGCGTTACGCCGTGCCTCGGGTAGGACCGTCGTTCCCGCGAGTACTATATTCATGTATACAACTGTCTCTGGTGTCTGTTAGAGAAAAATGGGGAGCGGGGGGGACAAAAAGAAGGGAGGAAAGAGAGGAATGAATTTGATACACTTTTGTCGTAGACCCGTGGTAGCTTAACGGATTTTTTACTACGTAAAGAGTAACGATTAGCCAACGTAATCTATATTCTATCGTAACGTGAAAAGTTTTAACTGTCGACAGTTTTTTCTAATGTATCGCCGCTGAAAGACACACACACACACACATATACATACACAGAGAACAGACATGAACATACGTATACATTCACACTTACACACATGCATACATACATTCATTACAATATGTAACATAGGACACGTGTTCTTGACGGTAACGATGTTGAGAGGTTTGCTGACCGGCAATTACCGGCGGGTCGATAACGGGTATTGTAACGGTAAGAAAGTGACACCGAGGCCAGTGATGCGCGAACCAGCTATCCGATAGCTTAATTAATTTCCTTTCGAGATCATTATGCACGCATTACAAGCGCTCAAGGCGATTCCGATCCTGGCCGAGATAACCGAACTGGACCCGCGAGAGGTTCGCCTGCCTCGCCGCATCGTTACCCTTAGGTCGTGCACACACGGTTCGCTATTGCTCTGACTGTATCTGATTTAATAGGATTTCGTTCCGAGACAGTTTCTACGTTGTTGCTGCTACTGTACAACGAGATTTCGACGCGAATCGATTCGCAGGCGAGGCCACTGTGCGGGCTTTAACGGGCCTGCGAGCTGGCCGGTCCCGTCGGTTTAACGATATTTAGCTGCGTCGCGCACAACACCGCACCTTTTATACCGTAGACTATTTATTGTATTATATTCCGGCAGCACGCAATCAAATCGACGCGTGCGTGTGTCCGTTTTACTCTCTGGAAACAGGTCAATTTTCCTTTTTTATACGAGCATTTTACTTAGTCGAGCCAGCGAGCAACGTGGAAACGATTTGTTGCGTGCTGAGAGAAAAGGGTACACTTTTAACGAGAACCACCTGAAAATCTGATACCTATACAACGCGTTGCTGGCGAGTTGGCATCTGGGAGGAATGCGGCGTCTGACTGGAGTTCGACGATGATCCGTTGTTTGTCAATATCGTGCGATAATTAATCAATACGAAACAGGATCTAATTTGATGCTACGTCTCGTCTCCGGCGCCAACTGTTCAGCAACGCGGACCACTCGGCCGATTTTCCACCGAAGGAGACTAACGATCACGCGAATTCGCATCTCTCAGGGTTTTAGCTCGTTTGTAACGAACGGTGATATACTGCGCAAGACTATTTAGACCGATCCCCAGTTTGGACGACCCTTAAACAACGGACAAAAATGTAAGGAAACGAATCGCGGCGCTTTCCCGTCGCGAGCTCGCTACGCCGAACCGTCAACGAGCTTACAGCGCGGCGATCGCTGTTGACTTGCCCATACAGAAAGCAACGAACGTGTGAAAGTGAACAGAGCGTTTCTTTCGCGGATAGAATTAAATCTGAATTCGGTGTCAGGGGTAGCGAAGTAAAAACATGGGGTAACTCTACGAGAGATGGCCCGCTTCCTTCGAACGAACTGTTACGCGAGTATCATCGATACCCAACAAATAGAACTATATATTTATGAAAGTAAATACGTATAAAAAGGATGGTTATATAGGCAAGATTCAACGTACCCCTAACAACCGGAAATATAGATATTCGACGATCTATGGGGACCGGGCCATCTCGCCGGGAATTACCCGCGGGAAACGGAAAAGCAGAAGTTTAGTACAAATGTCGAGCGAACTCGTCGCCTTGGAGTAGCGGGATTGAAACTCGCAACGGGAGAGCGCCAGGCAGCACACAGAATTCCAGCGAAAGCGTACACAGTCGAAGTAGCTATGCTCTGACAGCTGTCCCCGGCTGTTCACGTCGGCAGACGGAAGAAGAAGTTACCCTCGAAACGCGAAACGCGAGCGTACGCGCGGAAAGATTCACGCGCCGACTTTCTCCCTGCCCCTTTTCTTTTCTACTTTTCTAAGCACAAACGCGTTCTCGCCGCGGGACATGGCTCCCCCGTCGACCAAAGCTCAAAACCACACGTTCATCGACGGCGTCGTCGCAACCGTCGGCTTTCGGGTTGGAACGTGCCCTCGTTGGTCCTCGATGCTTTTATTTATTCGATAGAGCACAGTCGTCTCGCGCGTTACTCGTTACGCCTAACCGGTGATCGAGAGTATGGCTGCTCCGGCGAATATCCGCGGGAATTCGAGAATCCGTCTCTCCGTTTTCCGACGGAACGCGAAAGCATTCGAGAGTTGTTGATGTTGAAACGCTCGAGTACCGCGATGGCTAGAAAAGTTTGTTTTCTTCTCTTTTCTTTTTTTTTATTTAACGTTTGATTTCTTGATCACGAGAACACGTTGTTACTGTATTGTGTATATTTTATATTATCGATTGCCCTTACCGTTTTATTCGCTAACGAAGCTCCTTGCGCGGAGCGAAACCTCTTTTACGTTTACCGGTTTCCCCGCGCGGGAACCCTTCCGTCGAGACGTCCAGATTACAGATGGAAGAACGACAACGAGCGAGTAACCGTGCAGCTTATCCTTTGGCCTATCGCAGTCATTTGTCGGGCGGACAGAACTCGGAAGACGCGGCGCAAGATCGCGAACCGATCCCGACCCGAAAGTCGATCGCGTCCCTTCTCGTTTCCTTGGAGTTTTATCGTACCCCCGAGACTTTTTCTACGGATGTGTATATTTGTTGATAGTTTTCTAATTTTTATATTCTTATTTTACTAGAATGCTACACGAGCGCTGCCCCAGGGGGCATCGGCGCGCCGACCGTCGATCGGGGCAAGCGGGTCCGTCGATTTTTCGCGGTGGTCGTTGTCGCGAGCCTCGTATTCGATGCTGAGCCGTTCCACTTTCCTTCGTTTCGCCTGTTAATCGACTGAACGCGACTATTCGGGAAACGACTACAAACGAAACGTAGACTAGCTGACGAAGAAACACGAAATTCGTTCGTCCGAAGAGAAAATTCGTTTGAAGACAACAGAACTACTTAGGTGCATTCCAGAGTAAATCTAGTTGCTCTACAGGTCATTTCTCGCGAATGATTGTTGCGTTGACAGTGTCTAATCGAGGATACTGTCATCACTCTCTACATAGTATTGACTTGTGACAAATGCTCCCTAGAGCAACTCGATAGTGTTACTCTGAAATCAGCACCTATCTAAAAGATCCAAGGCTTATCTTCATTTAGACGTCGAGGTTATCGCGACTGAGGAGACATTGTGTAGCGTTGCTGAAGTTCCCTTATCAGTTTCGTAGATTTTCTCTTCCGCGAACCGTTTCGCAGGTGTTCCTCTACGTCAGTGGAGATCTCTCTGAAGTACAGTCGTCGTCGAGATAAAGAAAGGTCGTGAAAAGATTAGGCTTGAAGGATCGAAGGATTGCAGTCCTCTTACAATCGTTAACCTTTTGGGGACGAGGATTTTTTGGAATATTCGAAACCTTCGAATGCGTATATCGGCATCTTGTTGATTTATTTCTTTTCGCATCCAAAGTGGCGAATAAAATTAAGTAATCGATTAACTGCAACTTTTATACGCTCAGGCGTGAAAGTTTAACGTCATTGTAACTTGAAAGTTACGAAACTATTGAATACATTGTTAATTCGTATTCATGTGTGGATATTTATTAATTTTCTACTGCACAGATTTTGTTACAATCGTGAAAAATTCAGCTCACAGAGGGTTAACGTTAAATGCTGACGTCCTCAAAGGGTTAAAAGAGTAACAAAAGCTTCAAAATAGAAGAGAAATCGATTTACAGTAACACATCTGTTAAAGGAAAGCGATATATATACCCAGTGGCAGAATTGGCTAAAGTTTCATTTACCACTACTCTGGCTTGGCGACGACTACAAAATACCGTGACGTAAGATTCTTGGATCGCGTCGGTGTTCCCGACTGCGTTCCTCGTGGTTGACGAAATGATAGTCAGCGAGACCTTCACGGACGGCTAAGAGGATTAAAGGGAGGGTGGCGCGTGTTGCTCTCGTGCTCGTTGATCCGCGTTGCGCAACGTTCTTCCCGGTGACAGGGAACACGCGCGCGCGAGAACCGGTTCCCTTATCAGCCCTAAACTCGGAGTAATTGAACGCGTCGTCGGTTTCCATTTCGCGTCCCGTCGATGGAAAAGCGAACGAGCAGCAATTGAAAATACGAGCCGCGAACGATCGCGACGTCGACCGGCTTGTCCCCGCCGATCGATGGTCCCGAAACAGCACCGTTTGTCGTCCGTTTACAGGCGTCTTGTAAATACGTATCGGATGCAGGCGAATTAGGACCCGTTTCTTCGACACTTTCGTACGTTTTCATGAACCTCTTGCACTCGCTCGCGCGCCGGTCACGGTTCTTTCGCTCGCTTCTGCGGACTGCCGCTGGAACTACCGGGTAAATCGGTTGACTTTTCTTTAGCTCTTTCATAGAAACTAGAGGAGCATTAACCCTTCGGGCTCGAAAGGTTCTCGCTGGAAATATTCAACATTTTCGAGATAGACGAGATTGTTTGAAAGTAATCTAATATAGTTCGTAGATGAATCAAGTAACGAAGCTGTTTTATTTGAATATTTCACGTAGCGATACAGAGTTTCATTTAAAGTACTAGCTACTGAGTCACCTCTCGAGTGCAAAGGGTTACTTCGGTGTATTTTAGTTCATCGTTAATAAATCGTCGTGTTTAATCATCGCCGAAGCATTGGCAATTTTATCGTTTCTCTACGTAGCATTCGTGCCTTTTCAGTAATTAGGGGTTAATCGTTTGTGTTCGTTTTCTATGATTGTTTCGAACTTCGGTAGTTCTAACAGGGTTGTTGCGGGTGTCTTTGTTACTGTCTAGAATCTTTCTCCAGACCGATCTCTCCGTTCGGAAATAAGAATGGCTTTCAGTTCGCTCGAATCGCGAGAGGCGATCGGTCGATCCCGCTCCGACTTCGAAAGGGTGACGCGTCGCGAGTGCAAAGGGTGTCGAGCACGGCTCTATCGATCCGTTCCCCCTTGATTTTTTTAACGATTAAGGTCTCGTGCCATGCCACCTTGCGTTCTTTCGCGCTTTCGCGCACGAGGAAACGATCGTGATCGAAACAGCCGGCTGCCGCGCGTCCTTCCGACAACTGCTACGGTTTACGAACTGAAAAACGCCCGTGAAATCGGCCAGGAATCGTTTCTTCGCGCGTGAAAGATCCAAAATCACTGCGGTGCACCTGAGTCACGGTAGGAATGCGCAGCGTTGGGACACGCGCGTGTCATCGAACTTCTTTATTCGTCACGTTGAGACTCGCTTTTCAATAAAAATAGTTTAATTCCCGTTGAAATTCACGTTCGAAACTCTCCGAACGAATATACTCCGAACTCATTGAAATCGTTGCGTCCGCATTTCCCCAATTTCCATTTCCCACAGTCTGAACTGGCTGCGTTTAACCCTTGGCACTCGGGAGGTGACTCTCACCACTTGATTTACAGTGAAGCTATAAAGTTTATTTAATATTGTACTTCACATAATTCATCAATCTGAGAAATATTCACGTATAGCTTCGTCCGTCGATTCGCGTGAATTTCTCGTCGAGTTTCACGAAATATCGTCTTCATCTCATCAGAAAACGTTGAAATATTTCTAGCGAAAAACTTCGGAGGGTTAACCCTTTGCACTCGAAAGTTTCTCACTGGAAATATTTGACATTTCTCGACGAGATACAGACGCGACATCGTTTAAAACTAATTCAACGAAAATTCGCAGATAAATCAAGCAAAGCTATTCCATTTAAATACTTCCTATAACAAAGTTTCATTTAAAATACTAAACATTCAAGTTCGTAGTTTCGCTGTATCGAATCAAGCGGTGACTGGAAGTCACCTCTCGAGTGCAAAGGGTTAAAATTCGCTTCTCGGAGCGCCAGGCTCGAGAGTGCCGCGCGAGTTCTCGGTAGCGTTTGATTATTTCGATTGATACGCAAGGGAACAACGGCTGGAAGGAAGGAGAGGTTGGCAACGTTTCGCAATTCTACGTGCACGCGCGCGAACGAGCGAGGAACTTGGTTGTATTATGTATAAATGTTGATAAATAGTTGATAGGAATGTGGAGATACTTGTCACCGTTAACGATCGCGTATTGTCACGTTCAGAGAGAGAGTTTGAGAGAGAGAGAGAGAGAGTTTGAGAGAGAGAGAGAGAGCCAGGACGTGGAGTAAAGAGAGAACCGGCGGAATTGGATCGTCGACGGGTCCACGGATCGATCTCTTTGTGCGTCCTGGGCCGTGTAAATAATTGCCCCGTGCCCTAATCCCGGCGTTAGAGGTTAACTAAGGTACGATATAGTTTGTACGTTGGAAGTATATATACACACACTGTATAATATATACATACACACCATGCATACGCGTATGTATATCTTATATGGATATATACACAATATTACCACAGAAATAATATAAACGGTCACTGTCCTTACCAAGCCGTAGCGTTTCGCCTGTAACAAGTCGGAGAGGAGACTCGCGGACCACGGGTTTTTCCGCGTGCAAGGAAAAATCTCGAAAATATACGATTCCATAGAACGCACGCTGTACGAGACATATAAACGAAAGTGTAGCAGTTTCTCTAATATTCATTAGGAAGGGAACAATCTTAATCGATCCTCTATAATTTCAGCGCTGTCGTTTCTCCAGTTCGCTAGAGATATTAATTAGATCCTTGGAAATCTATGTTCGCGCAAGGATCCGTGGTCCGTTCATTACGGTCGATAGTTTTCGTGCGTCCATCCCAGAAACCCCTAGAGCCAACAGTTTCATCCCCCGTTTTCTCCTCGGCGATGAGGAACGGCGAGAGGGATGACAACGCGCGAGTCGGAACGGCACGCAGGCGTCGCGACAGGAACGAGAACGACGACGACGTAGCAATTTGTTTGCCGGTGGTCCGCAGCGGGCTCGCGCTTGTTCTTTCGTTTCTTTTCTTTTTCCTCGTTTCCATGGCAGAGCGCGAAGCGGAGGAGGAGAACGGTCAAACGAAGAAAAGAGGGAAATGCGTGCGTGCGAGCGGGCGAGACACCGGCGTCCCTTACGGACGGTTGCGCACACCACCCTAATCGTACCCCGTGCTGCGACGTAAAATTACACACACCCCCCAGACCCCATTAAGAACCGAGCGCCTCTTTGTAATCCATTCGATATTTCACGAGGAGCTTCGCGAGCTGACATCAATAAACGTAATGTACATTTTTTGCAACGAGCCTCTCGACTCTTTCACGCGCACACCCTCCTCTCATCCACGCCTCCAGCCAACGCTCGTTCTTCTTTCTCTGTTTCTCCTTTCGTTCGGATTCCCTGCCAAATCTACGCGGTTATCGGCGACTGAGATTCATTTTCATTACAGTTCGATTAACCCTTTGCGCTCGAGAGGCGACTTTCAGTCGCCGCTGGAGTCGACCCAAGAAAATTATGAAATTTCAGATTCAATATTATATTTTATGTAGTGTATCGACACGTGGAACATCGAGATAAAATAGATTTGTCGATTAGTTTATACAAGGTATTTCTTTATGTCAGTTGTAAGAAGTATCAATGAATATTTGTTGAGAAAAATATTCTCGAGTGCAAAGGGTCAATTTATTGGCTGACCTTTTGACTAGAAGCTACAACTCTACGACGAGGTTTCACGCGGTTTATCAAATATCACTGCGATTTGAGAATTTTCTAGTTTGATCACGTTTAGACTGCGATGTGCACGGCTATCGATGATAGAGAATTGCGCTATAATGGCGTACCGTTCCAAAAGGTGATATGCCACTATAGCGGTAGCTAAGTTAACGCAATCAATTGATTCGTCGATTCTTTTATCACTTAAATACTCTTACAACTATAATTTATTTCTCGCGGAATAATAAATACGCGGTATAAGAAATTCCAGATGCATCCGCAGCTCTCAGGAGCAAAGGTTGATGCGAAGAAGGATAAAACCTCGCCGAATGTACATTAAATTTCTTTTTCCCGTTCACGCACGGTAATTCGAACGTTAAAACGAGGAGTTCACGAGGATCGCGTCAACCGCGTTTGCAAGTATGCAAATCAGAAGATAACGATCGCGGTGTTTATGCGCGTTGTCGGCCGGAGCCGCGTCGGAAGAAAGTTTCGGCGAACGTACTGCCTTGTAAATTAGATTGACGCGCGACCAGTTCGTAACAATCTGTAGATCACGTAGCCGCCTTGATTTATACGGGCCGTTAAATGTTAGCGCGCGGCAACGGCGAAATGACCGACCTATGCACTCGCGTTTCGTAAGAAAGCCAAAGGCGCGTGTCTCAGTGATCGCGAATGTGGCTTCGGTCAGTGAATACAGCTCGTTTCATAACGTGGGATCTACTTGAATTTTCTTTAATAACCGTTAATAATCGGTAATCAATCGGGTAATAATTAATAATCGATCGGAGACGACAGTTCGTTCGAAAATACGGGTAGCCATCTTACAGCACGGTTTCGTTCTGACACGATAAGATAAATTGTGGAAACCATTGTTGAACACGTACCGCGTGTCACCGGAAATTTCGGTTATAGGAACTGCTTATTTTGAAAGTAGTTTAATCCTTAGCACTCCAGGTTGTTTTGAGATCTATCAGCAACTGCTACTAATTTTTATAGTACTAGCGAAAATGAGAAATGCTTAACATTTCTTCGACTTTTTATTTTGCTTCTTAGTAAATTTGCATGTGTGGAGAATCGAATAATTTTGGGGGAGTTTCGTTAAGATTCATTGAAATATTTAATATTACAACTGGTGCGATATCGGAGCCAACAGAGTTCAAAGGGTTAAGTCCGTTTTCGAAGGGAATCGAGTGAACCGTTATAGCAGTTACAATTCTGCATCTTCAATGGTTCTTTAATGGTCTCTTAATCGTTTCTAAGTAGACTTATGCCGCTTTCAAAATAAATGGGTCGTATATTGCTTATAAAGTGTACCGATTTTTTAACCGATAGATTAACCCTTTGCACTCGAGAGGTGACTCTCACCACTTGATTTCATACAGTAAAACTATAAAATTCGATATTTAATATTCTATTTCCTATAATGCATCATTTCGAGAAATATTCAAATAAAATAGCTTTTAAATATCAATTAAATATTAAACTTCACAGCTTCGCTGTGTCAAATCATTTGGTGACTCAGGGGAGCCTCTGGAGCGCGAAGAGTTAACACGTTGAACGACGATTTCAAGAGGAAAATACACGCTCTTTAACAAATTGCGTACCGGTAACGAGAAATCTCGTTTTCATATAAAGCCACTTAGCTATGCAACTTCGTTAATCACCACAGATTGAAAAAATACAAAACTTAATTCCAATTGATTATCTATTTAAAATATCTCACATAACAATATATCTGAGTTTTTCTATGTATAGTGATACAAGTTGGCCTCTGTGAAAATTGCCATCACAATTCAGTTCCCTGAAAATTAGCCGGTACGCAATACGTTAACAGAGCTGCCACGATATTCAGAAAAACAAGAAAACTGTCGAAAAACATCTAGAACCCGCAAGTGAACATTAGACGATTTAAAAACCGTTAGCGAGCGGCAGTGGAACGCTTTAAACCGCGTGTAGTTCGGTGGTTTACAGGCCGGCCATCGGAGCGTCGCGATTGGCCGACGCAGAAATTTGATTCTGTTCCGTTCGTTCCTTTTCTCTTCTTTCTCTATCCCTCTAGCCGGTGGCCCGTCGCTCCCCCCTCCCTCCCCACCCTCCCCTTGTGCCCCGCGTCCCTTAGGCGAGTTACTGTTGATCCGCCGCGTCCACCGGTCGCCGGCGTGTTCAAGAAAGAGACCGAGCAACGTGTTTCCCCAGGGAAGTCGGTGCGGTAAACGGCGAGAGTCCAGAGACGCTCGGTGCCCGAACAGTCCGTCAGTGACAGTGCGTTCGCGAACACGGATTCCCCGGCGGCCTGTTGGTCCGGATCGGCTCGTAAACTCTCGAACCAACCGTCGTCTCTCCGCGCCGCGTGCCCGCCGCGCTAGAAGAGGAAGGGACACGAGAGACAGACACAGACCGCTGGTGTTCGCTGGAACGCCGACACCGTGTGTGTGCTTGTACACGGTTCGCCCTCCTGGCAACGCGGTGTCGCTCGAAAACAATGCCACGAGCACGTCCGAGTGGTTAGACGCGTGACCAAGGGAATCATCACCGGGAAACCGTCGAACGCTTCTCGCTACGCGGACCGGGCCAGACGGCCACGCTGCAAACAGGAACGGCTCGCCGCGCATCGATTACACGCAAGGGTACGTACACCGTTTTCGATTTTTCTTTACCCTCGATCGATCCCCGCCGTTGCACGGGGAGACGACGGCGACGAGTCGGCTCGATGCCGGTAAATCTGGAAAGTTCGAGCGACGCTTCGATCCGGCTTCACGTTCCTCGCCGGACGACAGAACACTGACGCGGTCTCGCGATTAGGAGACTAATCGCGTGGCCATTTTAGTTGCCGATACGTTCGGCGATCGTTTGAATGATTTTCACTCGCGACGGTAGAGGGAACGTTTAATGCGACCGTTCGTTTCGATCGTTTCGAATCGATTCGTGGGAGATTCGAGATCGAGGTGCCATTCTGCGAGCGGACTTTGGTGCTTCTTTTTCGTAAGGGTGCTTTGTGATATGTTTGATATTGCCGTGATAGTTCGATGCTGCTCGCTATTTGAAGAGAGAATCAATTCGAGAATCAGTTCGAGAATCAGGTACTAATTAATTTTTGAAGTACTCGATTTTAATGGGATATGGAGGAAGTATATAGTGCCTAGGTTATGTGGAATGGCAAAAACGTGGCTCGAGTGGTTATGGAATTTCCCGTGCGAAATGAATCGTTCCGAAAGGTAGCCTTAACCTTAATGATCAACGACTCCCGGTACGAAGCGTAGCGCGTAGAAACAACGCCAGAAATATCAGTGGCCGTCACCTAATGAGTTCCCGAGTGTCGATCGGCCGCGTCACGGCGTCACGGAGATCTGCCACGGTCTTTCGGACGTCGTTCTTTTTTCGCGTGAAAGTGAGAGCGAATCGAGCCGGGTTGCGCGGTGCTCTCTCGCGTTGCGAAACGTGCTCTTCGCGAGCGGCGCCGTTGAAAAATCCATCGGGCACCGTTCTTTTATTTCAAAGTTTGGGCGTGACATGCGCCGACGTGTCTGCCGCCGCCGGCATTCGAACGCCGTTCGCGTTCGTGCGTGCATAACCGTACAAGATGTACCCGCTACACGTTTTGCCGCGTGAAACGCGACGCGATCGGAATTAACCAGTTAACTGTGTTTGACGAGTATACACGTCGCCTTAAAACTCTTATTGGCGCTAACTTTTCCGACGACAGATTATTTATTTTTTCACGTAAACCTGTAATTCTTCGTTTCGCTTCAGTTTTTCGTTAGGATATATTTTAACCTTCTATAAGCCCGTGTAACATTGAAGTCACACATCAATAGACTGGGTTAAATTGATTTATTTAATTTTTTATTGCAAAATGACGGATGACATTAAATGATACAGAGAATGATTATTAATTTCATACTGCGTAAATTTTGTTATAATCACGAAACGAAATTCGGCCCATAGAGGGTTAAGTGCATTTGGCCTGCATTTAATGATTATACACTTCATTATTTCATTTTATTGCGCGCACAATGACAGATTTAAATCTAAATTAAATCTAAATTCCACACTTAGCTGGTTAAGTGACAGAAATAATTCCGACGAAGCCGTAAAGCATGTGTATAACGGGAAAATCCGTGTCCTCTCGTTACGGCGTACCGGGAAACACGGAACGCAAAAGAAAGTTGCGAACGACGGAAACTGTAACGGACGATGGTCTATTTTTGGCTAATCCCTTGAAAGAATGGTCATCGAGCGTTTTGGGTTTTCACTTTTTTTCAATCGGTCGGATTCTTATCGCTGTTTAGTGCAGGTATTATTGCGGGGAATTATGTTTGTGTTCTTGGCGTGTTAGATTAGATTTTATGAGATGCATTGTAGATGCTATTATAGATACGTGGAACAATGGAACGATGAACCACGTAGTCGCAACGGACGTGCTTGCCTTTGGGCTTGGATTGTATTATCGTTAATAATTCTGTGAATTAATTGCCGTGGTTAAATTGATGTATGCCCTTGTGATATTATTTGGACACGATATTTCGTTGTTGAACAGAATTTTTAGCTTAATATTAGATTAGGTAAAAAGGACTGTAATTAATTCTGATATCTGTTATTTGAATATAGTATTTTATTGTTGAGAAGAGTTGTTAACTTAACATTAGATTAGGTGGAAGATATTGTAATCAGTTTTAATATCTATGGTTTTGTACTACAAACGCCATATTGAAAATTTCAGAAAAATTCAGCTGGGGATAATTAAACATATTATCGCTGCTATGATTAAAAAACATGGGATTCGATGTTAGAACAGGTCCCGCACGGTTGAAGTATTCTAAAAGGGTTTTAATTATGCGAAAAGGTTTTCAGCCGGATCTGTTAACGTATTGCCGCGAGTGCGACGTTAAATCGATAGTCCTTGCTCATCGGATAATCTAATATCTTCTCTGGTCGTTTAGAGGTCTCGGCCGAGTGTTTGTCGATTGCTCGTTAGCACTAAGAAACGAATGAGCTGACGATACAACTTCAACAATTAAAAAAAGAAGATAATAATAATGAAAACTTTTTGTTTCTTCTAATACTAGACGTGTGCTGCCACTCGCAATTAATTAGAGACCTGACGCCATTTTGAATACGCTTTTTCTCATTGTAGGATGAGAATATTTTTAGAAAATTACAAACATTACTCTTTAACCACTTGAGGTACTATTCACTTTCGCTACTAAACTCGTATATTTTACTATCAACAATTTAGAAATGCAACCAAATTTTTCATTCTACTTCAACTGGAAATTCCATTTGAAGATAATACATTGATAATAAGACAATATTTGTTTCCGTGGGTAATGAAGAACATTGATTGCTATTAAATTAGTCTAGAAATCTTAATCACTTGCACTAAAATTGTTAACCAAAATATTTTATTTAAGACACTACATCTTTCGTACACAGTACAAATTAAAATAAAAATATTTGTTTCGTGGGCAATGAACAGCATTGATCGTTAAATTAATCTATAAATCTTCATCACTCGTCTCACTCGTCATTGCACTAAAATTGTTAACCAAAATATTTTAAGACACTACATCTTACGGTATAGATTGAAATTCATTTGAAATGTTTTGGTCATCTGGATTCGATCTACCCGGTGAGCTCCGCTGAAAGTATACAATAGACCGAAACGAAAAAATTGAACCGACATACTCTGTAAATCGTGAATGAACACGTTGCGCGTGTACCGCGAACACTATAACTCAGGGAATTCGTTGAATAGGCAGTTAACGGTGTTCGCAAACGAACGTTTGGCAGTCGTCCTTATCTGCGTCGCTGAGTAACCATCGGTTATCGGCGAGCAACGTTGTTCCAATCGCCGAACATTCTGCGCCTTGCGGTTTATTTTAATTGCCTCTCTACATCCTTCCTTTTCCACTCGGTCGTTACAACGTTACATTGTTGCAACGCGACCGTATTTGTTTGTCGACACTCTAGGAATACGTTCTCCATCTGCAACATCTGCGATCAAATAATCCAGCTGTCTCTTCACAAACTTTAACCCTTTGCACTCGATAGGTGACTCCGAGTCACCATTCGATTTGACACTGCAAAATTATCAAGTGAATATTTAGTATTTTAAATGAAACTTTCTGAAATATTCAGATAAAATAGCTCTGTTGCTTAATTTATCTGTGAATTATCGTGGAATTAATTTCAAACGATGTCGACTGTATCTCGTTGGAAAATGTTGGATATTACCAGGCAAAAACTTTCGAGTGCAAAAAGTCAATTCCTTGTCACTTCCATAGTAGCAAAGGGATTTAGTGCACGTTCGAAAAATACAGAGAAATCTCGATCAGATTCAAGCTTCAAACTACGAGTCTTACAGTTGCTCAAATTTCAGCTACTAGAAACGCGAGCGTCGGTGATTATATTGATATATCTTTAAACATCAATCGAACCGAAATTTGTAACATACGAGAAGGAATACGGAATACTTTACCTTTCATGGTAATCGCCATGTAGGTCCACGGTGTTATAATAATAACGCTAATCGGCACACTTTTGTCAGGCCGTATATTCGGACCGCGTGTCGAATTGATTGCGACAAATCATTCGGTATTCCCGGAACGCGCGTTAAGGCAGATTTAGATCGCCGGTGAAATTGGCCACGTGGCACCCCCGCAGCCTTGACGAGAAAAATTCGTGGGCTCGAAAAACACCGCATTTCAACGAAATCCACGCGCAGCTGGCAAGATCGCGGAATTATCGGTGCTCCGTTTCACGCAGATCAATTGATCTTCCAGCAATCATGAAATGTTCTTTGGTAATTCCGCGGTAAAGTGATAATCGTCTTATATAAAGGTTATATGTAACAATTGAGGATTATCGCTATTAGTCAAACTACTTTATTATCTCATTAGTCAAACTACATTATTACTTAATTAGTCAGACTATATTATTACCATATACGACTTACCATTAACATTTATTACTACTTACATTTATGCAAGTACATGTGCATTCATTATTCCTCAAGTAACTCGCTATGTCTATTATTAGTAACTTCATTTTCTAATTAAACAAATCATTTCCTTTCCGTAAATCCAGTGTTAACTAGATTTCATTCGAAATCAAAGTAAATATTATTCCTCTAATCAACTGTTACACTTAAAATATAAATATAGGCGTAACGTATGCTTAGAATTTTTCTCTTTTTCCAATAAATTATTGACAAAGCAGCCGTGTCGACCGGAGTCGAGAAATATATCATAGGTCAAAGGGTTAACCAAGAGACATCGATACCTTGTCACTGTTCGGCGGCAAATTCGAAAGCGGCTTCGGTTTGTTTACACGGAAACGAGGATGCGAACGGACGACAGCGGTTCCACCGTCTCCGCATGTAAACAGAGGGTTTACACGTGGCCGACTGTAGGCACTCGACGTGTTTTCATAGACGATTCAACCTTTGTCTACGTTGGTCTTTATTGCGATTCGTATACCTGTCCCCGACAATGATCTCAGTCCCCGTTACGAGGGTCGACGATGTAATTATAGTAGAAGACGCCTTCGAACGAAAGTTAGTAGACGCACTGTTAGCTCCTTCAGAGAAACAGCGCGTGGTCCATTATAGTTTCTAACGGTAAGCTTC